CCCCCCCAAAAAAAAAATGAACCAAAACTAGTGCTTAATGAGTCAACACAAGTATATGACCGAGATGGATTTAGCCAGATATGGGGGAAAAGTCCAGTTGCACTGTATATATATATACTCTAGATCTTTGAATCTATCAAAGGAGATTTGTTTTTCAGATTTTGTGAGTGTTGCTGTATCTAACTGTGTCTATTTTCTTTCCCCTGTACGGCTGTACCTAAACATTCTTTTTTCTTTTTTGCCCTTTATTTACTGTGTAGTGTACATTGTATGTAATTTTTTGCTTTCGGTATCTAACCATTGTTGTCCAAATTGATATATAACTGTATACAAGTAATAGCTATACATGAATAGAAAACATAAACCAAACATTAGATAACTAATACAACTTTTATACGATGATTATTTCTTTCTATACTTCAAATCAAACGTCCTCTAAACTTCTAAATTAAGTTTTATAAACTGGAAATTTGGTAAATTGACCTATCTCCTAAGTCAAGTAGTCTATCCTCTTTCCATTTATAGCCGTATGATTACTTCAACGTTTCATTTGGTCGTAATAAAGGGATTAATGTAAATAGTTAATATATATATAGTATAAATAATCTCGGGTACTTATACCGTCAAATATGTTATAATTCTGTATTGCTGTAATAAACAATTAAACTCTCTGAAAAAACAAAACAGAAAGTTAGTAATACTTGTTTAACGAAATAAATTCAGGAAAAACAGTATAGGAATAAATCGAGCCCACTGAATACACAGTGTGTCCTTAAGGAAATTATTCCCCTCAAGTACCCGAGGTGCTGGAATATATCCTCTCAGGATAGAACGATTTAACTCACCGGAGTATTGGTACCAAAATGCCGGTAAACAGCGAGCCACTCGAAGGCTGTAAAACACACTGGAATTTTTGTGCAGAAGAAGAAGAAGAAGCAGCTCAGAAAATTTCGTAAAGAAAGATTCTGGGATTCAAACTCTATTTATAGAATTGCTGGTATTGTTTCTGAAAAGGTTTGCAATCTTTCAGAAATAGCCATGGCTGTTGGAAAAGGGGTGTTTGAAATATTACGGAAAAAATGTATTTAAAATAATCCGGGAAAGAAAACGGGCCTGACCGAACCGGGTCGCGGGTTATGGGTTATTCCGGATTGAATTTTTCGTTAATTAATTAAATAATTGAAAGGAATTTTGTCCAAAAAGATTAATCAATCAATCGATCTTTGACCGAATCCGA